CATTAACCTACTAACTGTGGTCAATGCTTAGATCAATGTTGTTTATAGAGACCTATTTCTGTTGTTTATTTCAATACTCGAATGTTTGTTCACCTGAAGATTCAGCCCAAATAAATTTGTGTATGCAATCGTAACGAGGACCTCTTATAAAAAATTTAAAAGAAAAATAGCTGAGTATACATATTGTATCAATACGTACGAAGCTCCTCCACAAACACTGCTTTTTTTTCTTTACCCATTTGTTGAATTCCCCTATCCTTGATAATCTTTATTAGTTTTCTTTGATATGTCTTAATAGCCTTTCCTGATACCGGCTTCAGGAACCAACAATCAACCTATCAATTTTTCCTATATGTTGATATTCTCAAATGTTCTCATCTGTGATTAATCTACATAATCTTACACGTAAGCCAGAGTTAGGAAAGCCCATTTATATGTTGATTTCTAGCACTTACCCGCTTAGATGTCAATGAAGTAAGCCTGGAGCAAAATGGATCAGTAGTCAGTACTGCCAAGCCATAGGGTCGTCGCAGAGGGCTATCGATTCGTATTGGGCTTCCTGTTAAGTTCTATTAGGTTCAGAGCGGCGTCCTCAACCCAGAAGTTGCTGTTTCGAGGGGCACGAAAATGCGATACGCTATCCAGGGGCGTAATATACTGATAGTAGTCGTAATACAAGCAAACACAAACTATTCTTTATCAACGACACTACACTTGACACGGAACAGTACACCCCATTTACATGCTCTACTTTCTAAACTCCGCACTCGTTCTTTGAAGATCTCTTTAGTAATATTCAGCAAGACGTCGAAGATAAGATATAAACGGTCCTACACAGATAAAAGAGTCAGCTGGACGAAATTATGTGCTGGCAAAGAAACACAATGAATGAAGTGGGCAACGGATTTTCACAGGACTAGATGGCGTAATATTACGCTTGATACCGATTGTCTGGCACGTAACTACGGAGTGTCAACTTTAATACTCAGTTTCGCCAACCGGGTTTTCTATAACTTTTCTTAGATGCGTATATAAACGTTTCAAAGAATCTTTAAATTATCTTAAAATTGAACAGCTGGTTACGGGTAAGCTACAGCTTTTCGTGATATAAATCTCACGGCTGTCCGCGGTTGGCATTCACCGTTGTGTCACGCTTACTTGACGTGTACTTCGATGTCGCGCACACGTCCGTTTGAGGTAGGCAGATAGAAGAGATCCGCTTGACACCGGAGCTACCGTTGTTCTTCAGTCCGTTCGTCCAACAGGAGAGAGCTCCGTCGACAGTTATGCGCGATGCGACGCGCTTCAACTTCAACACGAACACCGACTTCTCGGATCCAGTCGACTTCAGTAAAAGCGTTAGACGTTAGTGGCTCTTTGCCTGCGCCCGTGTCGATCTGCCGCGGTGTTCTTCTACCTCGCCGAACCGTTCTTGCAGCTCTCGGCTTGCTTATTTTCGCCGCTGGCTCTCTTGCCACAAGCAGGTGCTCACATCAGTGGGGGAAACTTACAGCTCGCGGTGCGCCTGGGGCGGTGAGGGCGGTGGTGAGTCGCAATCTGGTCGAAAATTGAGGGTAACCGAGCCGTGGGAGCAGCTCGAGTGGCAGCGGCAAAGGCAAGTGCAGCCTTTGTCGTTCTCGTCATTGTCAAATCAGGAACGATGGTTACATACCGAAAGCTTCACCAGATGGCTACCATGATCTCACGGATCCGGCAGCAAGCGCTTTGATGTTTACACTCGTGGTTCGTAAATGGCAGTTTAAAATAAACTCTAGATACCTCTGGTCGTTCCAGAAAAACTCTAGAAAACTCAGCACTTACACTCAGACAACGGCTTACCTTACAATAAGAAAAGGTTAGATCTGTCTGTAAGTAGGCTGCTGCGTTCTCTTGCCCCCACCGTTACTATGGCTCCTGCTTAGAACGCCTACCAGGCGGCTAACGGTGGGTCTTCGTAGACGCCTCTTTTCTGCAAAATTTCTGTTTCTCATCCGAGATCATGCTTTGCTATGAACAGAAGTCGATCCCAATGCGGTCTTATACCCCATAGATGCCTGCTCTCCGAGCAGTCAACAGTGCTAGTCTCCGGTAGAGAAACGTTCAAATGTTCAACGGGACCAACAACAATAATCGAACGTCTCCTTCTAGGCCAGCCACGCTTTAATGGTCTGGGAATCTAGATGGTAAAACTGCTGGTCCCGCGGTGTTCATTAGTATCAGCTAGCGATTGAAATTCAGTAAACGTCTTCGGCGCAGAAGGGGAAAAGCGATGGAATGTAAAAACGTTAGAATATGAACATGGCAACAAATGGCGTTGACACGAAGCGTGTGACGCTAAGCAAAATTCAGATCTCGAGTCTCCTCACGGGATCTTTTATGGCAGCATAAGGCGTATTCTATGGTTTAAAACGATAGTTCGGTCGGTTTTACTTGGAAGCCTTTTCTTCTAAGTTTCGATGCGTACCACAGTAGAACGGGTGTTTCAATTTGCTGCACTTTCTCCGCTACCTCTCCATATTCCCATGGGCATTTGTTTAGCAGTCTCTCTTGAACTAATTGTTGTTAATGTTATCTATTGACATATGCTGTTACTTTTTGTTCCGTTGCGATTTTCGTTGCCACCGGTGCGATTATCGTTCGTACGAAGCCTTTTAAAAGCGGAACTACAACGCTAACTAGATACGAGTGACTACAATACAATAGAAGAGAACCCCCCGGAACGCTCGGAAATGTTGGCTGGGAACTGCCAATGCAGTGCGCTATTAAACAAAAGAATAACGAAAATAAACGTAAGCGCAGGGAAATTGATCTTTCTTCTGGGCACCGAGAAAAGAAAATTCTCATTAACGCCTGCGAAAATACGACGCCAGAGTGGGACTACCGTGTCAATATTAGCATGGCAATGTCTTCATACGCGGACGATGTGGTGTCGCCACTGGGAATCAAACAGGTTCTAACTGGGGTGCATTAAACAGTGCAGGACGTCTGTGTATTTGTCGATCCTATAAAAATGCTACACAACTGCCGGACCACCAAATGACCAAGTATGTCCTAATAATCGGAAAAACCGAACGCTGGATCGAAATTTCGACCTCGAGTCATTTGAGGGCCGTTATTTCAAATATGATGTATAATACAATTGTGTTAATACTATAAATGACCTATATCTATCTCGGTTCGGCTTCTTTGGCCAGCTGAACTACTAATATTGCCCACAGGATAGCGATGTCTTGTACTGACTTCGGACAGCACCGTTGGGGTACTGCCCGCGCTGATGAGTAGGCTCCTGCTAGGCTCATTGGCCTAAGTATTGGGCATTTGTCCGCTTATGTTGTTGTTGCTGCGTCATTAGTATTATTAGCCGGCCCTCCTTATATACCGACTGCAACCGTGCTAAAAATTAGCACATTGGCCGGTTGGTCGTGCTAATTACCAAGATGCTGTGCCCCATAACATATTAGTCGCATTGTCGCACTACTTTCAGGTTTCCTACCTTTATAAAAATACCTAAGCACTTCTACTTGACAACCCCAATCGCTGTTTTCATCTTTTCATTATATTGTTATTAAGTAAATCTCTTATGTTAGATACCTGTATCAGTACACGCTTCATCGAAACAGCGTTTTTTAAATGAATCACATATTTATCCTATTCTACTATTACCTAGGTGCGTCGGAGTTATGCCCGGTTCCTACCATGCAATGAAGCTCTGAATTCTAAAACTTCTGATGAACATTGCAAACGAGGTCCATGTTGGGCACAGTTCATTTAGCTTGAGAAACCGTTGAAAGCGGAACTCCGTAGAGAAGCTGTACTCCGATGCGCTTCATTATAATTCCATTACTCCTTTTCTTCTGCAACTTAATAGCTATTATGACCGGATATAGTATGTACAGACACTGAACCCTCTAGCATATGTATATGTTATTATTTAGCACAGTACTTTTGGCTTTCATAAACACCGATGCTGCGGAGAACCTGAGACGATCTTTCCCGCACTTTATATGTTCTAAGAGAGCTTTCTCTATTCGAACGCTTTGCTACGCGGCGAAAAACAAGGCTTCACTAACATTCGGAAAGGATTCGTATTGTAACCTTGTGCTCCTGCGACGTCCAATGCATCGCCGCTGACGCGTTATTCCCATGCCCATCCAAATCTTCTATGCTTTACTGAATGGATTTTTTAGAATGAGAAGTAAAGAGGTGCCTCGTGTCGGTAATCTAGTAGGTCCTTCCGTAACACAATAGTAAAAGATAACCATTAAGAAGCTTTAGAGCAGAGTTCGCGATAGTGCTGTGTGTATTGATTCACGCGCTACTGTTTTGTCCTAAACAATTCAACCTGGTACCCTATGGGTTGTCGTCAGTTGACAGTATTATTTAGCCTTTTCTGTTGCCTTTGGTTATCGATCGTTCACGGTTAGCGGCAGGAATGAAAGGCACAATAGAATTTGCCATTTGTCCGTTTGTTTCTCCTTTCATAGCAGACACTTGTCCAATGTGTCTCATTTCTTTCTTCTCCATATCGATGATCTAAATTATATAGAACTTCAGCCCCCGCCCCTTGATCTACTATCTGCTACACAGATGTTAATCATTTCCGCGCCATTTTCCTGTCCACCAAACAGATTTACATTTTGGATCTCCTATCTGTTCAAATCATGAGACAGCCAACTGCTTTTCTTCTATTCCTGCTGTAGTACTGCGATGTGGTATCGAGAATCGTGATTGTACGTAGCGTACCTGATGGATCTGAGGGTAAGTTTCGATGTTTTAAAGTAAATGGCGTCGTCTACTTCTAGCTATACGTGCGACGTACGGAGTAGACAACTGGCGCTATTCGACGCGACTGTGCAAGACGACCAGGTGCAACGAACTTGGCGTCCTCCATGAGAATCCTACATGAACCCTTAATGGGCCTACTAAATGTTTCCACACAGTAATCGAATCTGAATGAATTTTCCCCACGATGGAGTAAGCTTTCGGTGCTAGTCACAAAGGCGCCGATACTAACTAGGTCCGATGGTTTCAAAAACAGCGATTATGTAGAAAAATACGAGTATGCAGGCACGAGTGCAAATTTAAACAAGAATCAATGGGTGATCAGCATGTGCGACAAATTTGCAGGCCAAGCTACGTTAAACGGAGCTAAGTTACAGATCGAACGTTCACGGATGTTCTAAGCCCTTTTCGGCGTTAGTGGATCGTTGAAGTTGCTCAAGTTACCGGAGTTAATAAAGTCATACTTATAATGAACTGAAACGCTATGTGCGTTAGATTTGGTTTCGATGATGGCCCCTTAGCGGGTGTTACTGCCAAAAGAAGATAGCTCGTTACGCAGTAATACAATGGCTGTGTGAAAAGCGATGAAAGCATCCATAATGCGGCCACGAAAGGGAAGAGAATAAAAAGAAAGCGCGCGCGACGGTGCGCCGTGCATCATGAAGCATGCGCACAATGATTACAGTGACACGGACGGAGATCAGGTAAATAATCGGCGGTGGAGAGGCAGCTGATGAAGCTCGGGGATCTCCTTGGGGTAACAATTCTTGTTGGTAGTCGTTTTATTCTATATAAGCAGGAGAGGAAGAAGAAGAAAACGAAGAAGAAGCATAAAGTTGCGAATTAGAATTGCACAGCGGAACTAACGGTAAATGCACGAAAGATCGCAGTTTTAACGTTGGCGGAAGATAGCAGCAGCAGCAATAACAACTGCAGTACTATTACCACTATGGTTTAAGCTCTACCGAGTAATGGTAAGCGGACGTTGGCACGTTTGCATATCAATGTCGTTGTTTCTGGGGGGGGACATGACATAGCGAAGATCCATAAATCGAGGGTCTTAGCTTGTGGGCAGTCACTAGCTGCTGTTACAGCAGGTTTCCTTTTCTCTCAAGCCTATCCGCACCCGAAGTCGGTCGAAGCAACGATACGGCTAAGTTTTGTCGTAGCTTCGCCGTTATCACCGACGGCCACACTGATATGCGGGCCAAACTGCAGTTCGTCGCGATAACGGGAACAGTGTTGATACGTCTAGTTGCAAAAACATCGAAGGTAGAAA